ATTTGTTTAGGGTTGGATTTATTGGATGCAAAGAGCTGTAATGTCTCGTGTAAATGGAGCAATTCAATTTAGAGTTTTGCTTGTTGATCCCTCAAATTGCTCGATCACACTCATGCTGGCAAGTGGGCCTCCACTGAAGGAAACACCAGAGAGCTCCTCTAGTATTTGGCCTACTCTTTCATGCTGGCCAAACGTCTTAGGAGGTGGGATTACCGACACTTCACCCCACCACACAGAACCTGCCAATCAACTTAAGTCGACATTTATGATAGGTGGTCATAGATGGGGGGTGGGAGGGGGGGGGCGGATTTGGAAGAAAAAAACCACGCAGTGTTGTTTCCACTGCCGCACTGAGAGAACTAACTGAACCAACTGCCTCGGGACTACAAGTCCAGTGTGATTACGATTATTATACCATGGTAGCATTCGGACAAGACACATATCAAATATGAATTGTGCGGTCATTTGTTGGGAATAGCCATGTTATAGATTTGATTTAATTAAATCCAGTTACATAATTTATTTATGGAAAACATATTTTCGTAAAATGCTTCTTTTAAATCTGAAGACCAAACGATGTTGGAACACAATGGTTGTGAACTTTGTTTGAAAGGGCAGACAAATAAAACCACACCACTGCAAATGAATAATCGCCACACAAGTTACATATTGAAGAACTTTGTGTGACATTTATTGAGTGTGTACACGTCGCCATCGATGTTGTTTTTGATGGCGTGTATGTTTCCTTGATGGACATAATTGCGCTTGGGCAGGACACGATCGCTGGAAGGGATTATGGCAGATGGTCCCAAGAACAATGATGGGAACGAGTCTGGGAGGAGGTGACAACGGCAGAGATGGAGTGATGAAATCCAGCTCGTGTACATGATTATTACGTACTGGCATGATGAGTGATAGATGGTGGTGGCTTTGGGAGGCCTTCATCCAACAGTGGATTAACCAAGGCTGCTGATGATCATATGTTTTCTGTTCGCATAATATCACCATGTGCTTTAAGAAGTCATCTGCCAATGTATTTATCAGTCACGTACCACAGGGTCAACGGGGTTTATAGCGCCTAATCTGTACTTACTGTTCTTACACAATTTATTGAATCGTGAATTAAATGAAAAGTTAAGTGTAATGTAAAACTGTTTAATGCAGCCATGCCTCTGGGCAAAAGAGAAAGCCAAAATGGATATAACCAACAGAACAGCCTGGAGGTAGAGGTGCAGCTCCTGCAATTGCTTGCTCACGCCGCTGCTGGCAGAATGGTATCCAGGCGAGGGAGTTCTAGACAGCCCCTCTGGAGGGTATGTTGGCCTACTCTTCCACACTGGCCAGACATGCTGGAAGAGGTGGGAGTGACCCACGGTTTACCACACACCACACGCGACCTGCCGATTGCTAACTGTGGTGTGCACATTTATAATGCCTGGGTTGACAAATGTAGGGGGGGGGGTGGATGTCATGCATCAGGTGCTATGCCAGGAGATCAAACCGGTCACTTCTGGTTTGCAGGCCCAGTGTGTTCACCATTACTTTATGATGGCAGGATCCTCTGCTTTTGGTAAACCCTAGCGAGATTGTTCATGGCATTTTCATCTTAGAAACCACTGAAATCTTGACGATCTGGTTTGACACAAGACATAAGTCACTGTCAACCGAGATGTACTCGAATAAACTTAGTCAGCTCCATCAACAAAATGATCAGTAACCTTGGCCGCTCTTGTAAAAGCGGCAATATGTTTCTTTGTTATTGTTATCTCTTCGTCAGATAAAGGATAATACTAGCGACGGGGGAGAGTGATAAACCCCAGTGGCGATGTCTGTTTTTAATTAGTATTCAATTAAAGTAAATGGAATGTGCAATCCAAAGGTTGAACACGAAATTTAACACTCTTCTGAAATTCGTGGTCCGCCAGGAAGTGTCTAACTGTGTTGTTGGCCTGCCTGGATGTGCTTCACATAATGTTTTTTCAGGTTTGTTGAATTCTCGTCTCTCATCTTTTTGTTGTATTTACCTCCGTGATTTGTTCTTGACACCTGATGAAGATCGCTTGCGTTGTGATCGAAACGTCGTGATTGTTTTTTTATTTAATATAATTTTATTGTATTTCTACATACGTGACTTGACCGAAAAAACCAATGAGTAATTTTGTGCAGTCACGAAAGCTTTAATACTTTATTATTTCAATAACATTTTTATTTTATTCTGAGAATTGGAAAAAGCTAAATTAAGTCAAAATCCATATTTTATACGACTGGTTTTTATGCACAGTCATTGTCAATGGACACTGATGAGTCCACAAACTCAATACATTGAAGAAGCCACCTTTAATCATGGGTGACTGCCAAAATATTAACCCAATATCTCAGAGGTGCCGGCTCAGTGCTTACAACATAGCATAAAACCCCCTCGGCCACACCGCCACCTCATGCCCACAAATTAATTTAATGAAATTTGCATTTCTACATCGGCCCAACATAGTTAGAAAGCCTCTCCTCTCCCACAGGCTTGCACTCTCAAACTACTCCAAGGAGCCGAGCAACTGAGCTATGTAATGAGCACATTTGTGAGTACATTACTATACAAACTCAGTGACTTGTTAGTCAATAAAGAAGTTATTTAATTGAAATATTGTTTTGAAACACAATATTCATGAACATTGTAAAAACATTGATTTTTGTTTCCAATGCGGAACCATAGCGGTACAAATAATCACGGCACAGCCCGCAGGGCTAGAGGTGACATCGCATAGCTGCGTTCATCCAGAAGTTGACTGATCATGGCTCAGGATGATTATCATGAACTCTCTCGTGTTGATAGATGATGGACAGAGTAAGGCTTGGGCTTGTCAGTAATCATGGTCTCAATAACAACCTCATCAAAGGTGGTGGCTAGGGGCACTACTGCCTCGTTTTTTTGCGGTTGTGCTGTATACATCTACGATGTTTGTGCGGGTCGTACCGCGTGTTGTTGGGCATGATTTCCAACGTTTTGTCTAATTGCTGGGAGCTTCTTTAGGAGCTGAATCAAGCAGCTCAAGTAGTTCTCCCTCGATCACACAACATTGTCTGGGAGGAACTCACCCCACACCCTCTCAAACCCCACCATACATGATTTCTCACTAATCAGGATCACAAGCCTATTCTCTTTTTTTCCATCTTATTTAGGCTTTCATTTTTGTATATTCTCCTTTTTTTCCCAATGTAATATTTTCTATTGATATGCAAAGGTCCTAAGTATAATGTTGGCAAAGACAAAAAAATCCCTGTATTGCCTTTAACAGACTGTTGAGCAAGTGCTGTTAGCGAGCACCTATGATGGCCGTCACGGCAAAATTGGGGGATGGGTGGCCAGCAAAATGCCCGGCCGCCAGTGCCGAAGTTTAAACACTGCGCCAGTTACTCATTTGAGGCTGAGTCGACCTAGGAGAGGCCCAGAACCGGTTCAGGAAATAGTCGCTGGTGTTGGCCGTGAGTGGACCTATGCATATCAATAGAAAATATGACATTCGTAGTGCAGCGCAGGGCGCTAACCTCTACACTACCACCCGCCACTGTGGTGGCACTGTCGCTTGCACATGCCGCTATCAATCCCGGCACCCCGGGTTCCAGTCCAAGCCACGACTAACATCAGAAATGACTGAAATTCAAAAGTCCCTGCCCCTGCTGACCCCCGCCTCCCGGACAAAAGTAGGGACAAACAGCCCCAATGGCCAATAAGGCAAGGGAGGCCTTTGTCCATCCTGCAGTCGATTGACAAAAGGTTGTAGATTATTGACTATTTTATGCATTGCACATTGCCTGCACCATTGTTGTCTTTAGGCACATTGCTATGTTGTTTCTCATTGTGAAGTTCAGCTTTCCAAAAGTGCTCCAACCCACTTTCATCGGCCTCCTTATTTCGTAATTTGGATCACGATCCTCCATTAATAACTGCCCGAGGTAACATTATACACTTCTAGATTTGAAGCTTTCGTGACTGCAAAGATCCATACTCTTTGGTTCTATTCGGTAAAGTCACGTAGATTTTTGTTGTTTTATTTTTTACCTACGTGACTTTACCGAATAGAACCAAAGAGTATAAACATATACACTGGTGTATTTTCCAGTTGTGCCCCTGAAACAGATTGTATTCAATTGTTTTAGCGAGTGTGTTGTAAATTACCTTTGTTTTGCTTAGATTTACCTTGAGCCAAATTTTTTTCAACGATGTTTTTCTAATATTTCCTGTAGTTTATTTAAGTTGGTTGTCATAACAATGCATTTATTTACGGTATGCTCTTTAGAGATGTGTTACATGTTCTTTGTAGATTAATATATATTTTTCAAAATTTATTCATCAAAGTGGTATAAAAACACACATTAATTCATGAAATAACACTATTTTTATACTAATGTACCTTAACTAAAATATATTTCTAAAACCATTCCGAATAGGATTGACAAACCAAATGATTGATTCCATTACATTATGAATCAGAACGTATTTGTCCTAAATCTGATTTTCGATACGATCCGAGCCATTAATCGTCATCATCATCAGCCATGGTCAATCCACTGCTGGATGACAGCCACGCCAAGTCGCTGCCATCTCTTGCGATCCTGCAATCCAGGCCACGTGATCGTATCGTACTATATTACAAACACAAAGTTTTGCTGGCTGGCGCATGATGACGTCACCGCATCCCACAACGTTGAGCTGGGTTCGTGCGTCGCGCTGACGTCACGCCTCCCTACCACTCAACCTCCATTCTGGCCATGTATCCCGCGCAAATGCGCGAACAGTGGTAATGAAAAAAAATCCGAACTGCGCATCCCTAGTGGATACACACGGTAAAAAATAGAGTCCAGGCAAGAAAATAAATCTGCTCATACAAAACAAGTACATGGGTGGGCGAGGAGGGGTGAGTGGGTATGTGGACATGCGCAGGCAGGAAAGGAGGATTGAACAGAGTTGAGGTTGGCACGGTCAGGGAAGGCGGGGGACTGACCTCTCGAGCACCAGGTCAGCGGCAAAGACCAGCTTGCCAGGATGGGTCATGGACCTCCAAATGAGTCCCACCATGAGCACTTCCAGCCAGCAAGACTCCAGTAGCTGTACCTGGTCCTCCAGGTTGATGTCCATGAAGCCTGCAGTTAAAGCAAGCACAAGCAACCAGACAGTCAGACAGTGACCCCCCCCCCACCCCACAGGACCCTCCCCACTGCCACCTCCCCCCCACCTACACAAGCATGAACAACACACAAGCACGCATGCAAGCAAAAAATACATATGCATGGTTTCCACCGACACAAACAAGTACAGACAGGCGAACAAGCCTGCCAGGATTTGAAATAAAACACAGGGCTCTTGAGCAGTGCGGTGGGGGAGGAGGGGACAGAAGGGGGAGGGTCGGTTATGTAACACGAAAAAAGAGGGGGCAGTACGAGTATCACGACAACAAGAATAACGTGGCCATTATTCGCAACCGAAATGCAGACAGGAAATGCTAAACTAAACTCAAGGGCCAACCACACATTAGAAAAAATGGTTTACTTAGATACAAAGCGACATTTGTAAATTTCAGCCTGCTGATCATTCTAAGTGTTTTGTTTTCTTTGCACAAATGAAATAGTTGTGGCTTCGCAAGAGCACTGGGATGGAAGTAGAGAAATATAATCTTTCCGTTGAAAATATAAAAAACGTTCGCGTTAATGAAATAAAATAATCATTGTGTGCGCGTGTGCATATGTAAATATATTGACTTAAAGCTGCCGTGACTGCAGGAATTCATACTCTTTGGGTCTTTCGGTAAAGTTCACGCCTGCTGTATTTTTTCACCTGAAGACGATTACTTGTGTTGCGATCGAAACGTCGTGATATTTTATTATTTTTCTATCTACGTGACTTTACCGAAAGACCCAAAGAGTATGTAAATATGTTACGAATCATCTACTTCGCATGCATCACATGAGTGTTCATGGTTATGTCATTTAGTTTTTATTAATGTTTACCAATAATAATAAAATAAGACATGACCCTGCAAAACAGGTAAAAAAGTCTGATGTCCACATAGGGTTGAAAAATATAATTATACACAAACGTTCAAATCCCCTGCGTATATAAATATGCAAAAGAGTTACGCTGACTCGTGGCATCAATGCACTCACTGTTACATGATCAGAGCATAATTTTCAGAGCAAAGTGAGAATATTAAGTGACAATAATATTTAATCAGCGCAGATGTAGAATAAACATTCTCAAAGCTTTTTGGACCACCCTTCATCCTGGCCAGGTGGCTTAGCGGCTGAGTGAGCAGCTCGCACTCAAAATGTCGGCGAGTTATAATCCGATAAATTGTGTACTACTTTGTTGGGTAGCCAACAGTGGGCTTGTCTTTTGGACAGACTTGCCCCTGACATGCGAATGCGGGATTTCCACCACTGCTCAGGGCTGTAAACGGAAGATAAGCACTGCCTCAAAGCAGTACGATATCTTGGCCAGACTGAAACAAATAATGAAATACTATACCTTGTGGAGCAGATATGTGACTAGAGTTCACGTGTGGCAGTAACCATTGAACATGGTACGAGGGGGCATTAACATGTCGCTTTCAGAAAATTACTTCTGTACGGTGGGGTAAAGTGTGGATACTCCCATCTCTTTCAAGATGTCTGGTCAGTGTGGAAGAGTAGGCGAAAATAGCTTCTAGGGGAGTTCTTTAGAGCTCCATATAGTGGAGGTCCTTCTATTAGCAGTGGCACGAGCAAGCAACTACGGAGCTGCTCCTTGACCACCAACTTTACAATGTCCATCTGGACAATATGTACGAGATTAGCTCTGCTAGGGCTATCGACTTGGCATAAAGACTTCGCAGGAACAAGCCGACTTATTTTCGCATGACATATTTGGACCTTGTAAAAGAGCGATGTCAAAACACCTCTTGTGAAAACAGCATCCGAGGAAGTCAAGTCTGCACGTGACAGCTCATCGAGCAATTTTGCATCTCTCGATTCGCATTCAAATCCACGCTTATAGCCCTGTGAAAATCACGTCGTCTTATATTATCACAAAAGATACGAATTTGCGCCTGTGTGTGATCTCTATCCCCGACACCCATGGCTGGACAAGAGGAACTGCATCTAGGGCAGCACAGTGGAAGCACTAGTGCCTCATCGCAATAAGGCCTTGGTTTGATCCCAACTCGGGCACCCTTTCTATGTTGAGTTTGTATGTTCTCCCCCTGATCTTGCATGGGTTTCCTCAGAAATCTCCAGTTTACTCCCATAGCTACAAAACACTACAATCGTAAGGGCAAACCATCCAAATGCTTAATAATTACCTGCAGATTACTGAAAATGGAATTACACAAAGGAACATTGTCCCTGTCCACAAAAGAATTGGCAGAACCATCCTGAGAAAGTCTTGAGACTCCTGGCAATGTAATTTTAGTGACAGTATTCTACTCAGATATCCTTTATTTGTATCTTATCATTTCTAACAATGCGTTTAAGAGATAACAACAGAGGTAGCAAAAACTCTACGAAAGGAATAATATATAATAGGATACATTTTTGGCAACGGCCTTCTTTGTAACATATGCCTCTCTACTAGTGAAAGTGGACATTGCTAATAACCTTGCCTATGCTATATTTGCTTCCCTTTAGGGTGGCGTTATTGACAAAGCGTTAACTCAGTTATTTGTGCTTTGCGCACCCACTGCCAACGCCGTCTGACATTATTTTAAGAGAGGCACGTTAGATGAGCGTGCGAGTTATTGTGTTTTAAATACATGAGATTATATCTACAACACATATTTGTTTAATTTTAGCATACTTTGTAAAAGATTATCATATTTTTCAAAAAGGTAAGAGTCAGGTTATTTTGGATGGACTTTCTCTACAGAACGGATTATGTATGGCTTTGTTTTAAAATGGTTATTTATGATAAAATACAGCCAAAATGAATCCTAGGACAAACTTGTTTCATTCATAAAGCTGTCGCGGAAACATTAATCTGGCGGTTGTTTCCATTGCATTTTGAAACTAATAAGTCTGAAACTCCCGTCTGTATACCAACTCTGAAAAACGAGTGCATTTACTGACATGTCTGTCACAATTCTAGTCCACTGTACAATTATCCGTACTAAACTGAAAGTTGAATCGAAACGTAACACTTGTTATCTAAATCATTAACACCAATATTTCCTACCGTTCCAATTAGATAACTCGTACATGTACATTCCACTGAAAATTAGTTTAAAGTTTCCCCTGTTGACGTCTATCCACCGCCTATGAGCAAAATTCATTGTCAGAGTTCCAAAGTGGCAATGACTAAATTAGACCCTAATTTTGTAAAAATGTTTAAATTATACAAATAGGAAGTTGTAGGCACACTCAAGTGTTTCATTAACTGAGCCCCTGACAGACGTTATGCTTATTAGAATCACCCAGGGTCGTTTGTGTGTTTCCGCAACAGGCTGAGTTTGTTTGAGCTCATTAAAGAAATTAACAATTAATCTCAACCCAAAATGTCGTTTCCACGTTATCAAATATTGACATATACAGCAGATGACCTAAATATACTGCATAATGAGAAGCTGTTTGCTGAAAGAGGAAAATGACCTAGGCTACAATCCACAATTTAGTAATTCATTTCTGTGTAAACATTTCATGAACAAGTCCACCAATGATGTTACATTCAAATGGTCCCATTTCTCTGCTGAAGTCCACACAATTATAGATTCCATATTCTTTGGGTCTTTCGGTAAAGTCACGGAGATAGGTTCAAAGAAAATAACACAAAACTACGACGTTTCAATAGTTTTTTGTTATTATTTTACCGAAAGACCCAAAGAATATCAATTCCTGCAGTCACGAAAGCTTTAAGCCAAGATTTAATTTTAGATTCCCTTTTTGCCAAACCGTGAAGGGCAGTGGTTACCTCGTCATTTACCCCTGTGACATGTGAAACTCTCTCTACATCTTAGAAGGGGTCCGATTTCTGGGTTACACAATTCATGATTTTTGCTTTTAAATCTGCACAACATTTCCTCCTTTGACTCTAAATAAGAAAATCAATTTGCCTCGATGTAACTTGGCACGGTCACCAAAACTCACAAACCAAGGCCTAACCAAAATATATTGCAAGTACATTTTTTTACGAAATATTAAACAGCCACACTCAAGGTTGTACGAAGTAACAAGCAATATATATGCGATAATTTGTGCCAGACAAGAAGAAATGCTCTCATCAAAGTAAATCACGGCAACATTATAGCCCGCCATCAAATACCCCACTGATTTTACATTTCTATCTTCTACGGATCGAAATGGTCTCCATTATTCTGTATAGGGTTGACCATTTGTGATCTGTCAATCATCAGGCTCCTTATTTTAATGTACTTTCATGCTCCAATTGCTTTCCATGGCATCTTGAATCACGGCTGAGTTGTATTTTCTCCTAATAGATTTGCAGGCTTCTACAAATTCAATCTTTCGTCGATCAACTCATCCCCCTTCGACAGCGATGTATCCTTAACACAACCCACTTATACTTTTCGTAGCAGGCAACATGATGTCTCCAAGAAGTTTTTGTTCTCTAAGCCACACTCTGTTCCTCTGGCTGTTTATCAATGGGGAGGACTTTGTCTAGCAGTGTAAAGATCATTCCACATGAGGAAAAGTGCTTTAAATGTTGTAGGTTAAGCTTAATAATTGTTTCTGTGCTTTAAGAAACACGTGCAAAATACGTGGGTCTTTTCAACCGCCTATATGTTGTCCTTATTCGTAATTGATTTCCTTTCTTGGTGAGAATTTCAATTTTTTATCTTTTATTATTTTGCATATTACTGAAGGAGCAACCACATACTTAAAACTTGATGTGAATGACAGAATAACCATTGTTAAGATGGAGATGCAGGTAATTTTGTCAATTTAGATGAAAAACCAACTATGACTGCTAATATATGGCAATACTTCAATATACTGTATAGGATCCACAATAATTATATTGCCTAACAATCTAAATATTATTGTATCGTGGTTATAATGGCTGATTTAATATTTCATCACTATTTCAGTACCATTTAATTCATTATTTCTTGCGTAACTTACAGCATGCATTATAGATTGTAAATTCTAGATTATTAATATACCTACACCATGCTTCTTTTTATTACACCGAGTGATCTACAGTTGAATAACTTTTTCAAATTCTCTTTCCTTTGTAATGGAAGTCCAAAAAAGCAATACAACACACGCAAAAAAAATCCCAGCACAATTAACAAGTTATGGGAAAGTGGCATCGCGATAATGGTCATTTCGTCTCGCAATGCAACATGTGAAACAATATCGCAGCAAGCCCATATCTAACAATAGTTGTTCTCCAAAGAATCATGTCCTGCATTAGGAACACAACATTATTCCCATGTCCACCAGTGTCAGGAGTTGGTGGACGAGAATCAATAGGGCGTGCGTCTGCAGCAGGCAAAAAGTCCAGTCCACACACGTGTGTTTGGCAAAAATACGACCAAACTCTCATTCACGCGCATGTGCAAACACAAGACAACACTAAGATCCCCCCGTCTTGCCTTAACGGACTGTGGGTGCAAGTGCTGTTAGCGAGAAGCACTTATGAATGCCGGCACGGCACACGAGGTGGTGGTTGGCCAGCACCACGCCAGGCCGCCTTTATCTCCGCAGCGGCGATGTATACACACCGCACTCGGTACTCATTTGAGGCTGAGTCGAATTAGTGGAGGAGGGCCAGGACCGGTTCAGATATACTCGTCACTGGGTGTTGACCGAGTGGAAATCGAACCTGGGCTGCCAGGTTCGTAGCTCAGCGTGCGCCAACAGCCACACCACCGCTGCAAACACACGCACGCTCACATAGACATGCACATGACCCGATGGAGAAGAAATCCCCAAAACCTCCCATGACTTGTGCTGAATGCTCGCCATGCATATCGTACTGATAAAAAAAAAACTTTGCTAAAATAATCCTGCAGGTGACAGCCAGGAGCACCGAGTTATTTTGTTGAATTAAGCAGGATAATTTAAGCTGGAGCAATGAAGGTGTGTGTAACAATCTTTGAAATAGCGTATTCAACAAGACCACGCGTTAATTGTGTTTTAACCGACCGTCTGTGTTGCTTTATACAGTTTGCAAATTTTGCTAAACCCTGTCTGATTTAGTGTGATACTCCGTCTCTCTGTATCCCCTGGTATATCTGTGTTAATTCCCTCTACTTAAGGTCTGCATATATACCTGCGGTTATGTGTTTCCTCTACCTGATGATAATTGCTTGTGTTGCAATCGAAACGTCGTATATTATGCAATTTTATTTTTTCTTATTTCTACGTGACTTTACCGAAAAAAACAAAGATTAATTCCTGCAGTCACGAAAGCACAAAATCTAGTTTGAAGCTGTGTGTAGGCGAGAACATATAAAACCAAATTGTCCCCGCTAAAATATTATTTGGTGCATATGGAAGCTATGTCAAAATCACCATGAATGAGCACATTCTCATCTGATATTGGAAGCGAAGCAGAATTGAGCCTGGTTAACATCTGGATGTGTGACATCCAGAGGCACGGAGGTGGCCAGAAGATGCATCTGTGTTCACGACACGCCATCCCCCCTCTGGAGGTGGTGTGCAATGGGTGTGTGTGCAGCATGGAGCTGTGTTGACTGCACACGATCGCCTCAGGTGGTTTTGCGTAACATGAAGTGATAGTAACCATAACTTACATAAACATTTTCCATTACGGCAACATCACGCTTGATTAATACAAATGTCAAAAAGGTCAGCTTCAAAAACTTAAGACCATATCGATCAGGATGTGCCAGATCCCATCAGACCGCGGAAGCTGAGCGGAGTTTGAGCCTGGATAATGCACGGAATGGGGGACCACCAAGCACAAAAGAGTGGAGTTGAATGCGATGTGGGTGGTAGAGGGTAGTGCAGCACAATCGATTATTGTGCTGTATTCCCTCCACCTTCACCAACCTGCACTGACCAGAGTGGTGATGTTTGGTCAAATAACCCTCACTGCCTGCATGCAATGGCTTTAATCCAGCAGTGGATGAACAATATGTGAGATGGGATAAAAAAAAAACCCTCATCACGGCTTAAAGGGCTTGTCACCTAAGCTCGCTACGGGGAAGCCATGGTTTGCTTTTAAGGTGTGCTACAAAAACGGAGCCAGATAGTCAGCCACAACTTCCCTAGGTGCGCATACACTGGGGCTTATACGTCAGCCGGGTTTGTACGCGTCGATGACTCAGAAATCTGTTCCACGCCCGAGATATACATCCAGTGCACATATCACGATGGCTGTGGATACCCCATTAGTCACGTGCCGCCTAATCCGCAGTCTACCAACGAGCCAGAAAATATTCAGTGAGACAATAAGCCCTGCACGACATTGAGAAGTATCATGGGGCCAACTTAGAAGTGCTGCCGTGATTGTGATAAATGACAAGAGACGAATGAGCAATCAATACACCGTCGAGTTTAACCTGCGATAAGTATAGAACAGAATTAAGCATTCTCTGACCGTGATGCACGTTAAAGTTAGCGCTTTAATTGGACGCACTAAAGTCGTGATAATCGTTTTAATTAATTTTTCAGATCTACAAAAGAAAAGTGTGGGTGCCACATGGTAAAATCTTTTTAATACGGCAATAAAGCAGGAAAATCTTTTCAACTGCTCTCTTGGGGCAAAAGATACATTTTAAACAACCCATCTTTAAAATAAAGTAATTCAAACCACGTTCATCGTTCAGAGTCACAACTAAACGTCTGACAATCGCTAAGAAGCAGATGGAATCATCAAGAGCAACATGGCACTTCAACTGGCAGAAGATCCAAACATCCTCGGCATGGAAAAACCTTAGTGAAACGGAGACACATCTGAACGAAAGCAAACGGCAAAACTCTGGCTTTGTGGTGACACAAATGTACATATACACCATAAGTGCATTTTTCAAGTATAAAGCATGGTTGCTGGGCACAGGCCTAGACGCTCAAAGAGTAAATACATTTCTTTGAAAGTGCAAGGTTGGGAAAGAGACGAGGTGAAGGAAATCCAAAGTCGAGTATAAAGAGAAGTGTTTTGACCTGCAGGATGGTGGTTGGACACAGTACAGATATAAGAGGCTGTGTCTGGTAGACCAAGTCCTCAACATGGGTGTAGAAATCAATGAGTGAGTGAATTTAACGGGAACAGTAACCAGCATCAAACAGAGCGGTGACAAGCAGGCAAGCAACGCCGCTGGTGACTTAAGCGACCTCACTTCTGGGTCATCAATCAAACCCGACCACTTTACGATCAATCCAATTAATTGTATCCACGCACCCGCGACCGCCGATCGCGCCCGTCCACCGCGCAGCTTACCCGGGATCTTTTTGGCCCAGGCGATCATGTGCACGAGCTCTCGGTCGGCCAGGTTGGTGAGCACATTCATGAGCGAGGCCTCGGAGAATGGCTGCTTGGACTCCTGCAAAGACAACACCTTGGGCGGCTCCGCCTCCATCAAGGAAGTGAGCATCTGGTTGACCGCCGGGGGCTCCGACGGGTTGCGCTTGCACTCGGGGGCCTCCGGCGAGGCGGCGGCCGGCGCCGGGCTGGGCCGCCCGGTCGCGCTGTCCGTCTCGCTGCAGCTGCGCTTGTGGTTGGGAGGGTTCTGCGCAGGGTTGCGCGCAGCGGCGCCGGCCGGTCCTCTCAGCGCTCCGCCGCCACCCCTGCGGTCCCTGCGGCACGCTTGAGCACGGCACGTAAACGTCCGGTGAGATCAACGGTCGACCAAAGCGCATTTGACGTGCGCCCTTTCGTGGCCGTCGTGAACGCGGGTGCGATTTTCCCGGGATAGGCCACGCGTTGAGCGTTTCCCCTCTCGGGCCGTTGCCATGCCGTGCTGCTGACACCTTTTTCAGGAAGTGAAACTTTCACTAGGGCACTAACTACTGCGGGCGTTGTCACGAGTTAAAAGATTGAGAGAGGAAATGCTCAACGCTTAGCCCAAACCGGAAAACTGCACTTGAATCGTAAATATGAATAGAGGTCATTAAAACAAATATATATATTTTTATTTTACAAGGGAAGACCCACTGAGCTACGCAGCTCTTTTTCAGAAGCGACCTGGCTATAAAACGAGAGCTCAACGAAGTGGTTTTGCGGAAATTTATAGCAGCCAAATAATCAAAATGCACGTTCATTCGAAATGTGAAGGGGAAAACCGGAAGACCCCGGAGAAAAATCCACGTGACCACGGTGAGAACATGCAAACTGAAAATAAAGAGGTGTCAGGACCTCCTGTGAAATAAGCAAGGGAAACTGGATTTAAAACACTCTCTCTGAGCAGATCCCACTCGTGGAAACGATTCCGCCAGGTTAGCGGTAACAATTGTAGGGATTCTAGCTCCACTGTTAACTTTTTATGGCCGAGTTTTGCAACCGACTCTTGGGGTGGCTTGCGAGGATAAAAAAAACACACACACACACACGGCTCGCCTTGACATAAAGACATACGGATTTAGTGAGATAAAAGACAGATCAACATGAGATACAGATGAGAGATCTACTGACAAGAGACATATATTGGTGGGATGAAAGTGAGATCAACCAGAGAGAGGGGAGAGGAACGGGAGAAAAGTAGCATAAATTAGTGGCTACAGGTATGGAGATTATAACATCACCACATGATGTTATCGTAACATTTGTACACGTGCACTGTGATCTCGAGTAGCCCCTCCAAAGCACATAAAACATTTTATTGTGTGGTCCTCTGCGAAATAAAGTTCAAGTTCCCTGGGATAGAGCATTAATTTGAATTGCCACATGCTGTGTACTAAGTCAGTGTGGTTAGCAGTTTGAGAAGCCAAAGCCTATTGTCTCATACACGTTACACAACAGGGCATGCAAGTGGGTGATATTATTCACCTGGAGTAATTCCAGTAATTATAACCATGGCACTACCTTCATTGCTTTGACAGTGGATTGCGAGGAGCAACTCGGGATATAAATTGGCATGAGGAAGGGACAATTTATTAAGTTCGACTGGTTTTGTTGAGTGAAGTGAATGTATTACGGACGATGTGTAAAAGGTTAAGGTTACAGGGATGGCCTCCCAATTGTTCACTGAGGCCGAAGGGCCTCTGCTATAGACAGCTTCTCAAGAGGGCATTTTCGACCAATTGTTCCACCCTGACCAAGCGTCCAGGAATTGGTGAGAGCGCCCACAATTTACCCCGGTGCCCATGCAGACGAACAACACCTCTTGCAGCGTTTTGATCTACTTCAGACTGTTGTGAACGTATTTTGCTGGCCTCAATATCCACGGTGCTTCGTCTAAAGCAGGAAGCCTTTGAAAGCGCCGTGGAATTCAAACAGCAGGCTTTGAATGTAACATTCAAAACGTCGGTATTATTTTGTCGCTGAAATAACAAGGGGAACATTGTACGTTCACTTATGAAATGAAATTGCCACAGTTAAGTGCTCAATAGTGTTACAGGACGGACTCCACCTTATTTTTACATAATCATAACTTGTGCTGGCCCAGGCATTTTAGCTAAGTTATATCTATGCTTATAAATTATAGTTGGCACCACTGAAACGGAGCTTAAAAACGATGTCCATATGGCAATTTATCATTACTTTTACAAAGGCTTATACCTGGGATTTCTCTGGATAAGTAGCAATACATACATCACAGCCAATGCTATAATAAGCACATGGGACTGGCCTGAGTGTAATACCTCTTCCATAATCTCAATTACAATGTCTAACCCTGTTCTTACCCCCTCAACACGTAAAAAATATATATACCACCACTTCTCTAGGCGTGAGACATATACCTTGGAACATACATTTTATTGTACCTGATAAATGTGATTACCACTAATGGATATGCTTTACAAATACAATAGAACCCCTCTTAACGACCACCCCTGTTAACGACTGATCACTTAACGACGGGCCTCCATAGAGCCCAATGTCTTCGTTTTCCGACCAGTTGTAGGTACAGTAAATATTAATTAATGCATTGATTAACCATGTTTCTATTAATATTATGTGTTTATAAAGTTGTTAGTATCTTCATGTATAATACCCATTGTTTAAATATATAAAGTAAAAATTTTTGGGTGAAAAGGGTAACTTTCGATGCTATAGGAACGAATTGATCCATAAACGTGCATTTCCTATACTCGCTTAACGACCAAATCACTTTGCGACCGGTTTCGTGGAACCAATCATCGTCGTTAAGAGGGGTTTTAATGTAATCTAACGAAGCCCCCACTCCTTATAGAAATCGATGACTGTCGCTTCGGGACGAACGGCCATTACCTTAATTCTAGATTTGAAGCTTCCGTGACTGCAAGGATTCATACTCTTTGTTTTTTTCGGTAAAGTCACGTAGGTAAAATAAAATAAATGAAAACTAAATTTAATTAAATTTAGTTGTTTTCATTTATTTTATTTACAACTAAACTAAATTAAATTTAGTTGTTTTCATTTATTTTATTTTACCTACGTGACTTTACCGAAAAAAACAAATTTAATTAAATTTAGTTGTTTTCATTTATTTTATTTTACCTACGTGACTTTACCGAAAAAAACAAAGAGTATGGTCATTACCTTATGAAAAAATAAGAATAGGTTTTGTCCTTTCTGGCAATACAACGGGTGTTAAGATGTTCAAACACCGAATAGAAAAATTTTGCAAGGAATCAAGTTTGCATTAACCACACGTACTTGTGGTGAACATGCAAACAAACATGCTCTGATAATACATGCATTGTTTTTTTAACTGATTGGCCTACACCAGAGACAGCCTTCTTTAGGGCCTTCTCTGACTTGACACTGGTGAGACTAGGCATGAAGAAGGCTGTCTACGGTGTAGGCCAATCAGTTTAAAATATAATGCATATATTATCAGAGCATGTTTATTTGCATGTTCACCAAAAAGTACTTGTGGTTAATGCAAACTTGATTCCTTGCAAAAGGTTTATATTTGTTGTTTGAACATTTTAACAGCTGTTTTATTGCCAGAAAGGGTAAAACCTATTATTTTTCATATCATAATGACTTTTGATTTAAAGCTTTCGTGACTGCAGGGATTCATATCATTGGTTATTTCGGTAAAGTCACGTAGAAGGAAAACAAAATAATTAAAATATAAAACAATACAATTCTCACGACACAAGTAATCATCATCACCTGATGATGACTGCTTGTGTTGCAGTCGAAACGTCGTGAGAATTTTATTGTTTTATATTTTTATTATTTTATTGTTTCCCTTCTACGTGACTTTGCCGAAAGAACCAAGAATATCACAATAACTGTTAAGAAAAATAAGTGGAATTGGGCAGGACACATCATTCGAAGCGGTGATGACCGGTGGTTGAGATTAACATAGTGGCAGCCAAAAAAAGGTAGGAGCATGCCCAAGAGGATGACCAACGGAGAAATGGAGCGATGACATTGGCACGGGGGGCAGACGCTACATGGACTGTGGCACTGCATGACCGTGATTGTTGACAACTGCTTGGGGATGCCTTCATTTAGCAGTGGATAGACCATGGCTGATGATGATGAACGTAATTACTTGCATCCTAACTCTTTAAAACACGAGAATGTACATTCATGCTGCTATTTCTTATTATCCATGCTCGCAAGCTGTTCACTCTACAATCTTGTCGTTATTTTTACAAAGCTTTTACAATTTTTTTGCACACAATGCCATGTCAATAATACCTGCTATAATCACCCAGGAATGTCTGTCCTTAACGCTCGTGACATCACTCCACATCGATCAGCCCCCCTCATTAATATTCATGAGCAGGTGACGTCCTCCAAATGGACCCCCCCCCCCGACCCCTCCTCATTAACAATCATGAGCGGGTGACGTCCACCAAATGGACACCCCCCCCTATTATTATTACCGACTATATTGAGCCAAGAATGTCTGTATGCAACGCTCGTGACGTCACTCCACGTCGACCAGCCCCCCTCATTAATAATCATGAACAGGTTACGTCCTCCACATGGACCCCCCCCCCCACCCCTCATTAATAATCATGAGCAGGTGACGTCACTCCACATTGAACAGCCACCCTCATTCATAATCATTATAAGGTGACATCCTCCAAATGGACACCCCCCCCCCCCCATTCATAATAATTAGCGGGTGACGTCACTCCACATGGGGGGCCGAGGCGCCTCCTCCCCCCTCCTCGGCATCAACTCACAACCCTCACTACAAACGCTGAACCCTCACGTCACGTGATCTCCGTAACGTTGTTGAGACATCAAAGTAAAAAGGACGTCAAGATGAACAAGGGATTACAACCTTAAAATGAAATAGGTCTGTGTCACCGCGCCCTTACAAATTGCACACGCATTGATGCAATGAATATCACGTCGCTGTCTGCTTTTCGCTTGCAAGTTTCAGATTGACTGCAATACACCCGTCCTTGGATGGGCAAAAGGCTAGTTAGACACATTTATCCTGACAGTGAGCAATGCCCTCTCCACAGTGTATCCCTCTTTGGCAATATCTAAATACGTCCTGTACTACGTTCCATCCACGTCCATTGATTTACACGTGAAACAAATCCGTTCCAAATTCCTGCGCGGCAGCCAGATGCCGTCCAAGTCTGCCTACAACTTTGCCGCAATTACGTGGTGTCTGGTTTGTGACACTTCCTTGCAAGCCTCTAGGCTTGTCAAGTCCTTTGGTATAAAAAAACAAGTAATGTGTTGGTCGTAGGATGTTTTCACAAAGAGAACACAAATAATTAGCTTTCCACCGTGCATATACGTGAGCTATGACATCTTTAAAATTATCGTGCGCATTTACTGTTTAATTCACGATGGATTCTATTTTGGGAACTTAATAAATATTTTAAAAAGCCTGAAAAGACCCGTGTCCCTCCAGTAAAAGTTCCTAAACATGATGGGATTTAAAATATATATTGAAAGGCACCTACAAAAGCTTTGTGCATGTACAAAATATCCGGAAATATGTAACATTCATTCAGGCCACAATAACAATGGAATAACCTTGTTTCACTTCCACTGAAACAAATGTTCCGCTGTGTTCTTCCTGTGGGCGCGAGTTGCACAGAGGTGGCAAGCCGTGGTCTGGTTCTTTCAAATTACCTTATATTTCAAAGACAGAACAAACAATACGTAACACATAATTTGTTCCCAATCTTTTTTCCGATGTCAGGGTCTTTGGTTATCTGCCCATGTTGAGCTTGCATCGTTTGCACGGATATCAAGAAGCCTGGGCGTATATCCTTCCTTATTACATAATTGCACATTTGTTTTCGTTGAAAATCTTTTCCCTTTTGAATATGTGCGACTCGCGAGCACATCATGATGGCAGAGGCATGCTGTCGATCATAAAAAAAGAGCACAGGGAAATTGCCGTTACACAATACGCACAAAATACATAACGCAAAACCGCATCCCTGCATTTTTAGTTTTTCTGACACCGTGAGTGGGGCGAGTTAAGTGGTGGTGGTGGTGGTGGATGAAGTGTGATCCTGGCAGGAGAAGTGGGTAAGGGGTGGGGGGTGGTGAAGCCTGCGAAGGCTGGCGTACCATCTCGAACCATCCCGACCTCGTGGCACTTGCGGAGCCGACACGCCTGGCAGCTCTTCCGCCGGTTCTTGTCAATCGTACACTGGTTTGTAGCTGGGCAGATGTAGTTTGTCTTGCCTGTCACATGCACCGCACACACGGGGCAAAGGAGGGAGCCAGGAGTGGGGGAAATAAATTAATTTACGAGGGTGGTTTTTGAGATGGCCGCGTAGATCAGAGGGGTCAGAGGTCAGAGGAGAACACAGAGCTGGCACCGTCACGATCCGGTATTGGAAAGTGGACAGCCGCCCATTATTAAAGCAGGTTCTCAAGTGTAGTTCGTTCACAAGTCGCACCTCAGTCACCAATGACTCCACAAAAAACACTCTTTAAAATCTAGGTTTTGCACTTACAATGGCTGACTATGAAAGTGCTGCCCTGAGTGTGGATAAGAGCTCACTTGAAGGGGTTTTAAGTAATAGTTCTGAGATAACTCCTTCTGTGGACTGTTCTCCAAACAGTGCCCTCTGAGGGTTACAAATAGATTCTTTATTCTTAGTTCTTTCGGTAAAGTCACAAGACGACCGTTTGTGTTATGGTCGAAACGTCGTGAGAATTTTTATTGTTTTATATATATTTTATTATTTTGTTGTTTCCCTTCAACGTGACTTTACCGAAAGAACTAAGAATATGAATTACTGCAGTGATGAAAGCTTTAAATCAAAAGATTATTTATTATTTACATGATGCCAAATAGCAAACAGGATTAATTTGGGGAAAATATACAACCAAAAACAATTACAAGGGTGTTGAATTAAGTAAAGGGACTTTTACAAATGATTAAACATGTTCATTCGATTTTGGTAAATATTACCTCGTAAAATTGGCATGACTTTCATACTCGTGTGCAATATTGTAAATACCGTCATGATTCTTGGAGTTGTCATATTGCAGCGTCATTCTTAGTTAAAATTCACTTGTCGTTACACCTCAAAAGACAAAAGCAGATAAAAGCTCACTACTCTTATAGTTTAGCATACTGCAGGGGCACTGACATCTTTGATCACGTAGTTTCTACATTTGATTCATCGCAGCTGTTGAGCAAGGCCTCAAATGCCCCAAAGAGGCCAGCAAGAAACTCCGCTACTGAAGGCGTCATGTATAAGAGTGTATACGTTTATTGAATTGAACACGGTTATACCAAAATTGGGAAAAGGAACAATGTGAGAAAAATCCAAAGTATGCCATTAAAAAAAAGACAATATAGAAAAAAATATATTGCACGTGGGGACAAAAGTGGTATTTCTGTATGTTGTAGGTATGTTGTATGTATGTTGTATGGATGTTGAACTTCTTTCGTGCCGTAAGTAGCCGACTGTGCTAATTGGAGGTGCGGGATAAGGAAAACTAGACACAAAAAGCAGTTAGAAAGAAATTAGTTTTCAATTTAGATTGAAAAGTGCATCGCTCCAGTGGCTTCCTAATATCGGAAGCAAGAGCGTTCCAGACGGCCGCAGAAGCACATCTGAAAGTGCGCAATGTGCAATGAATGAACCCAGTGACCCAAGTTCAATTGGCGACCACAGCTAGCCATAGCGGTGGGTGATATCTGAACCGTCCCTGGGCTCCCCCTTTCAGCAATGAGTTTGGCAAAGTCATGTCAAATAACTCCCACGAGCGACACAGCATGAGGAGTGATCCGCATATGGCTTAGTCTTAAGAAAAAATAGTGGGCCATGAGTGTCGGCATTACTGTCCACAATTGCTAAATTAGTGAAATTACTCCCAAAATTACTTTAAAAGGAGAAAAAAACATGTAACATTGCCCCCTATTTGCAGATTATACCCATCTGCGAAACATATATCTCATGATCGCGTTGTGAAAGACCAAATGCAGAAACACCAAATTCTCAGGTGGCTCAGCAGCGAATGAGTGGATTGGAAAATCCTGGTTGCAGTTGACTCAGACTATCATCCCTCTGTGGGGGTTGAAATAAACGAGTGTCACTTTGTAGAGAAGTCAACAGCAGTGTTGCTAGGGATATACTTGCCCACGCTACGCTATAGGGATGTGGAATATCCACCATTGGCTCAGGGCCGCAAACCACTCGTCTCAACGCCTCATTTGAGCAGTGGACCACTTTCGACTCGTTTCACTTACTTTATTACCACCACCGTACACAACGCGCAAACGCGCACGTGACGACACAGGACAGCACGGGTCGCTCGGGATAGGCCCGGGGCCCCCGTTCTCCCACGCCGCGCAAAGCGTCCACCTTGTATGCTGCGCTTGAAGAACGCCTTGCAGCCCTCGCACGACCACACGCCATAGTGGTATCCGGACGCCAGGTCGCTGCACACGGCGCAGTAGTGCGTCTCGCGCAGCGAGCGTGGGCTCACGGCCGCCGTCGGGGAGCTGCACGTGGAGCCACCCGACACCGGCTCGCACCCCCCGGGCCCCCTGCCTCCCGTGCACGAACCGCCGCCTGCCTCGGGCGCCTCTGGGTCTGAGCTGGATCTGCCAAAGCGCATAAACCAAACCGGTGGGTTATGCGCTCATTAATGCGCTCGGCGCTACGCGGTGCTGCCGGCGCAACGCGCTGACCAACGACGGGTGTGTTGTTGAATATAAACACACCGGCTGCGGTAACAAAAAAAGGCTCTATTTACAAACAGTTGCATCACAATGAAATAAGTCATCTGCTGTTGCTCTCTCCGACGCATTTAACGATCGTGTTGTTTTGCTCCACTTGCTGGGAGCTTCTTTAGGAATAGAATTGTCCTCGCCAGACGATGTACGTGACCTCATTGTGGATAAACGTGCATTGGTGCAGCTCACGAGAATCTTATCTTCAATAAGGGTATTTAATTTGCGCACCTCCGATTAGCACGGTTGGCTACGTGCGGCACGAAAGAAGTTAAACATACAAGAAACATACGTTTATTTTAAAATATTACTGCTGAAATGTTCCACAATAAAGCTCTCGGCACATGCAGTAAAGCATCAGGCATCATGCTGAACAACAAGCGGTACAACCCAAATCGCAGAGCCGTAGAACACAACCGCAAAAACCTACGTAGCGGTATTTAGAAAAAAAATATCCGTTATTGTGGGCAATTGGTACAAAATTAGGCAATGCCAGTGAAGCCTCCTTCACTAGGCATCAACTGCATACAAGCAGCCCCCAAAATGTCACCTGTATGCGTACCACACTCATTATGCATTTATTTAACTTATTCAACTACAAACTCCACTGCCTGGAAACCTTAACGATGAGTCATGATAATTGCACATGTTCCATTACGTAGTCTGTGCACTTTGTATCGTAAATAACACGAGCTTAACACTTTTATTACGAGGATTTCGGGCCTTGAATTCAGAGCACACCTGTATCATTACCAATTCCATGAATTGTAATATAGTCTTGTAAAATAAAACGCTTGCAAGTAACCCTGGAAATATTTTTTAGTAAAATAATCAGTACGCATGAGATCAAGGCGGAATGTATCTTTTCCGAGCAACCAACACGACCAACTCCTTTCCAGTAAAGGCTTTTACTAATGCGTCGTGTACAACCTGGCAAATTATTTCCTTAAGAAATGTAAAAGCCTGTAAATAATCCCCCCAAAAACGTTTTTCAACATCTTCATTAACGGAAGTGAGCTTTGCGGAAAACGAGCGGCAAACGCATCGTCCGTGAAGAAGTGATGCTACGCCTGACGTACCACCCTCATAGAACACAAGCGATCCCAAAGTTGCTCTTCGAAATGGTGAGCCATCATGGGCTCTCAATCCACAGCCGAGTTTTTATTTTGTCACAAAGAAAATGTTCCCACTGTGTGCATGTATCCCACTGGAATTGTACGGGAACTTCAGTATAAAAGGAATAAAAAAAGATGTGCACAGCTCACTTGACCTATCCCTCTATGAAGATGCTTAATTAAAGTGTTACTAAATATGTTAATATCTAAACACACTCAGCTATTCCGAGCATAGAAATGTCCCCAAGAGGCAAGCTGGCTTTAACACAAAAAAAATATTTTGACATACTTCAAAAGAAGGACATTACATATTATTCTGCTGCTTTCATTTCTGGTTCTTGGCCTTACTTTAAGCAAAAGGAAGGGGACTGAAATATGGCCAGATTTTCCAAATTTTGATGTCGAAGCAAAATGTGTAGAAATTACATGTGGCAGGAGTCTGCGGATTGAAACCCAGCAGTATTTAACATTAATTTAAAAACTTAAATACGATACCTCGCAAGGCAATGAGAATTTTACAGCAAAAAAAATAATAATTTGGGAAACCATGCTGGGTGAATGTACAATTACGAAGAGAATTCGCCAATTAAAAGTATGTGTGCAACTTCCATTGACACAAAAAATAACGCAGGAAAATAAAATGCGAAATTTAGTGAATTTTACACTTTACTCATGTGTGAAATTACGTTCTAAATCATGGCCATCTTCTTTATTATATATATTTTTCCCCATCAGCATATAGTTATAATGCTTAAACATAGAAAACAATTTCTCTATGCAATGCAGTAACCATGCAACTGTTCCGTGTATGCAAATGGTTTTGCTGATGTATTTTTTTAAAGACTTTGACAATGCATATAGAGGGTAACAAAATGCTAATCCGCAAAGAAGTCAAGAAAGGAGAAATGTATTCTTGGTTCTTTCGGTAAAGACACGTAGAAGGGAAATAATAGAAATAAAACAATTATTTCCCTTCTACGTGACTTTACCGAAAGAACCAAGAATATGAATCCCTGCAGTCACGAAAGCTTTAAATAGAAATTTAAAAGGCGAAATGCCCTCACCAAGGTTATTCAATGGCACTCAAATATATTTTTCCAAAAACAAAATTGGAGAAATAATGGCAGTCATTATAATAAGCAATGGCAACGAACTCCAGGAAACTACTGAAGAACATAACAAAGAAGACTGCAAAGTGGGCTTTAAATAAAAGTTAGGTAATGTAATATGAAAGGAAATAACTGCTGGAGGGACACCTGGAAACACAACAGACTTTGTATAGCTAAGGCAACTGCTGTCTTCACTCCAACGCTGTCCTCTGGACAGTCTGATCCCTTCACCTGATGAAGGCCACTTGTGTTGTGGCCGAAACGTCGTGATTTTTGTTGATTTATTTTTTACCTACGTGACTTTACCGAATAGAACCAAAGAGTATGGATCCTTGCAGTCACGAAAGCTTCAAGTCTAGAATTAAGCAACTGCTGATGTTAGACTGGGATCGAAATTATGAAATGAAGATGCGAGCAAGTGCATCACGTATGTATGGAGAACTTCTTTCGAGCCAACTGTGCTAATCAGAGTTGCGGGGTGCATTTGAGTGGAGCGCATTTGAGACATTTATTCTGAAAATGAAAAACAAAACCAATGTGCCTAAAGTAGAAAGTATTCAATCAGTGATGAATAAAATAAAAAAACAAAGGTTTACGAATACACAGAGAAGCACACAGAGGAGATTAATGTTGGAAATGAAACTAAGAGGATGAAAGAGGAACAATGGATCAGAACATAAATGCCAATTCGAGCTATTACATTATGACTACTGCGAATAAAAGTAAGCTGCTTGGGCAGGAGACACTGCTGGAAGCGACGGTAGCTGGTGAAAGAGACTTTGATAGAATGGCAACCCAAGGTGGAAACACGATCAAGAGGATGACCACCACAAAAGGTGGCACAATGGGGATGAGCCTGTAGGCAGAACGTGTATTATAGTATCGGAGGATCGTGCGGGATGGTGAAGGTCTGATGAGGCCTTCGTTCAACAGTGAACGTAAAATGACTGACGATTAAACAATCATAGGCTGTGTGCGTATTAATTTGAAACTTAAAACAGCATTAACAAATAAGACCACATGGGCAGGGAAAAGTTTAGCAAAAGTTAACATTAAAATATGCTTTGACAGTGTTAAGGTAATATAAAATGCACAAAGATTCTGTTTGCAACTTTAAAAATTACCAAACAAAATCAAAGCATTGATTTGTAAGTGGGTGATCAATGATTGCTTTCACAGAGCTTGGGGGGGGGGGGAGGAATAAGCAACAAGGGAAAGTGCCACAGACAGTGAACAAAAAGACTGAAAACTGCCGGGCAGGTTATTACCACAAATCCTCAGCTATGCCATGAAGGTGCGCTCTCGCAAATGATGTTAAGGAGTCGCAGCATTTGCATGAAAGGCATACAAAAACCTGGGCCTATTTTTTTAAACGTATTATTATACTCTGCCACCTTAAATTCCACATCACATCGTTACGAACCACACGATCGTAATGGCAGTGCTGAGGAACCTATGAATAATGTTCCATACGAAAAAATATAGAAACTTTGAAAACTTTCCACAAAGGAAGTACGTTACTAAAGGCGAAGGCCAGGCCAAGGTTGCTGGCTGGAGACTTACCGTGAATGCAGTTAACTGCAATCATGGGGATGACAAGACTTACAAGGCTATTCAAAATGTGGCATATGCAGGAACTCGCGCAAAAAAAATGCCTTTACATTTTATTACAATCAACTAAAAACAAATAATTAATTCTCAAAAGCCTCGCTAAAGGATACCAAAGGAAAAATTACGTTCCATGCTGTGAAGTGTGATTGGGACGCTGCCGTGGTCTACTGATCAACACGTTGGACCTGCAATCGAGAGGTCACCAGTTTGATTCAATTTCCTTGCGCTCACGCGTGGCACTTAAACTCCCCTGTCGATCGGCAGATTGTCCACCGGCAGCTCGAGTATGGTGGGGTAAAGTGTGGATTATCCCACCTGTGCCAAGATGTCTAGTTAGCGTGATAGAGTAGGCCAAATATCCTCAAGAGGTATTCTCTAGAGCTTTCCCTCATGGATGGCCCTTCCACCAGAAGTGGCGTGAGCAATTAAAAACAATTAAAACTAAACTATTTTTTTTATTTTACCAGGTAAGGCCCACTGAGTTATATAGCTCTTTTTCAGAAGCGATCTGGTCACAAATGATAGCACAACGAAGTGGCGTATCATGTGTACATTTATAGCAGCCAAATACTCTCAGCGCATGTTTCTACATGTGGAGGGGAAAAATGGAGGACCCGGAGAAAAATCCGCACAACCACAGGGAGAACATGCAAACTCCAAATATATAGGGTGACGATCGAACCCACGACCTCCTGTATACCAGGCGAGGTGGTAAACATGTACTGCACTGCGCCTTTACCTTTATTTTGCTACAGGTTATTTAAGAATAACTGTTCAGTGTAAGGCAGGAAATAGCCCAGATCATATGCACACGTTTTAACAGATGCTGTCAAATGTAAAGACTCTCCTGTTGCTTGAACGGTAAAATAACTTTTGTAATTTAACCATGTGACAGAAGTGCTTTATTTAAACCTCTGGCATCATCATTTAATTGCAATGCTAAGTAATAGGCTTTAGAATCACATATTTGTAGTCATACCCTATGCTTCTGGTTATAAAAATTCAGCAGAAATCACACATTACACCACGGTTGTTA